AAGTAACACGTATCGGTTGGTAGGCAGCTCACAAGAGTAACACACATAACATGAAAGAGTCAAAACTTTCTCTATCAAACATTAGATGCTTTTTATATTCAATAATTCCAAATTAAGAAAACTTTCGTACTTTTTTTTTTTGGCTCTGAGGAGACTTTGTTCATCCTAAATATCTTTCAAACCAAAAAAAAAAAAACCCTAAATATCTATAACACAACTAAATATCTATTAGAGCCACAGTAACATGCTCTAATTTACAAATAAATACATATGAATCGAACAAAATACACACTAAAACTCTAAAGATTGTAACAAGAAAAAAAAAACCCCCTACAATCTTTATCAGCGACTCACACATGAACAAATAAATACAGATTGAATGAAAAAAAACATCAATCAGAAAGAGAAACTCCACAATTTGGGATCAGCTTCAGTTTCCATGTCATCCCAACTCAAGTAGCCAGCTAAGCATTGAGGTGGAGAAAGAAGAAGCCCTTCGGCCATGTTATCAATCAACCTTGGCATATCAAACATTTCCTCCTCATCCAAATAAAACAAGCTCAAGCTGCTGCTTATTTCCATATCCACGCTAAAATTCTTCTTCTTCTCTTCCATGACAACATTTATCTCCTTCTCATCACTGCTCCCTCTGGAAAATCCACCGAACTCCGCTGGCCTGAACCCTTCGGCAGCCTCAGCAGCTGCCCTTCGGATATCCATGGTATCCATGGAAGCCGGCACGGGCAGCCGCCATGCGGAGTCAGCAAAGTTTATGCAGGCAAGCTTCCCTCTGAACGCCAATGCCGCCACGTCATGGGCACGAGCAGCCATCTCAGCCGTTGGATACGTCCCGAGCCAAACCCTTGACTTCTTCTTGTTGGGCTCTCTCAACTCACACACCCACTTGTTGTTGTTCCTTCTCCTCACGCCCCTGTAAACCGGGTGCCTCGTCTCCTTGAAAACCCTCCTCCCAGCGCGCTTCTTCGGCCGGCTCGACGCCAATATGACGTTTTCGTCGGAGGAAGAAGCCGGTAGGGTGGTGACGCTGGCGTCGGAGAAAGAACTCGACTCGGGCTGGTCGGGGGAGTCAGAAAGCTGAGCGGAGAACATGTTCATTAATAGAGTGATGTGTATATTTTGAGTGGTGTTTCTGAGAGAGAGGTGTGTGTAGAGCTAAAATTGAGAGTGAGGGAGAGGGAGCTTTTATAGATTGGGGATGGCGTGGCAGGTGGGGCCCAACACTGGACACGACGACACGGACTGTGTGGAGGCGCCACGTGGAAGCGTGGGCTACTGGAGTGGCAAGTTCCCAGACAACAGAGACAAATGGGAATGGAGCTTCATAAAGTTTGACTTCAAAATGCCAGGTGGCAAGTAAACACGTAGTGAACTTACTAAGTAAAGTTAGTGCTTGCCACACGTGATCATTATGACTGAAATTGGCACTGGCACATTTTGTTGCGTCCACGTGGCTCCCACTCCGAGCTCAGCTCACTGAGAGACTGGAGCTTCTGCAGTATGTTTTTTGTTTGTCTTTGTTTTGTCGTGTCATTTAAAAGTCAAATGATTAAGGAACAAATTGAAATTCGCACGAAATTTATAGGGTAAATTTACACGATAACAACTTTGAATTAAATTTGAGTTAATTTGCTAAGATACGATTACTTAATTTGTTGAGCTTTGGGTTAACACGCTAACTCGTTTGTTAACCTATTGCAATAACTAATTTATAACTCGTCATATTTAACCTATCTATTTTTGTTTCTTTAAATTTTTATACAGTTAACATTAAGTTTGTCTTTCTACAAAATGTTTTTATATCAAATTTTTATACTCGTTTTGTCATTTGAAATAAATATGGGAGGACACTAAAAATTCTTATTTTACGCATCTTTTATTACTAATTCAAATTTGAACTTTGTATTGCGGTCATAACCCACATTTAACACGAAAAACAATCGTCAAGAAACAATTAACAATTGAATGTAGTTGATACTTGCAAGCAATGGCGGACCTAGGAATTTTTATAAAGGTAGGCTAAATTTGTTTATTATAGATGAGATATATTATAAGCCTTTTTTTTTTTCTCTTGAAACAAAAAATGTAAATAAAATTTTATAAATCAAACATGTTCACATTACAAGCAAATATAACATAAAGAAGTACAAAATATAAATAAATACCAAATCAAACACATTGTCCAACTTCAAAAATCATATATGCTAATTAATAATTCAAGTTGCAAAAATAAAATATATATCAACAGTCTCCAAAAGTTTTCACCCTAACCCTAAATCATAAAAACTTAACAACAACAATTAAAATTGAATATATAATAACAATATAATAATAAAAACTTACCAAGATTGAAGAACCCACTAAACATAGGTTGGTACAATTTTTTAAAGGAGGAGAGCTATTTCCTCTAAGCTCTCAAGGTTCAAATATGACGTTTTGGGTGGCTAGAAGAAATTTTTTTATGTTTGCTCTCTGTGGGTGTGGCCCAATATCAGTACGATTAGAATAGCTCAAGTTGGTAGAGCCATAGCATGAATTCTGCTTTTAAATCAAATTTATATAGGTTTGAGTTGATGTTATTATTTCCTATATGCTGTAGGAGTGGGCTAATATTTATTAGAGTAGGAATAAAGCTTATAAAATTTAAACCATGTTCAATACTTTATAAATCTACCCCTAGGCTGGAGCCCACTTCAGACTAAGCTTAGGTCCGCCCTTGCTCACAAGTCAATCACTACTAGAACAGCCCAATATAAGCCATGAATACACCCATGACCAGTACTACTGTCTGCCATAAACAACCCATGGCCAAAGGGCATTGATACAGATTGACCACATATCATGTCATGGTGTTACCTTCCCATTACTTTTTTCCACATCATAGGCCAATCTTTGGCCAAATTTCAGGTGGGTCCCACTACTTACATCTTGTCCTTTTGGCAAGTTATAATGCTATTTGTACCACATTTACTGACCACCTCCAATATATTGGTGGACCCCACCAGTGTATGTAGGACCCATCTTTATTAGAGAGATGGCCAACAATTTGGCCAATAAATGTGGTCCAAATAACAACACCCTAATAATATTATTTTCAATTTAGACCAAGAATTCCCCACTGTGGGCAAAATGTGTAATTTTTTATTTTAAAAAAAATTGATGAAAATAAACACGGATACCAATAACAAATATCTTCTTTTGCTGGATGAACAAAAGGACCCTCTATAAAAACAAAAATAAAAAATAAAAAATAAAAAATAAATCCCTGAAAAATGGAGCATCAAATTCCTGAGTTTAATTTTCATAAAGAATAGGCGTCATTTCACAATTTCCATAATGTCATTTACAAAATTCGATATGCATAAATCTAAACACTAAAATCTTCAATTGCTAGAAATTGAAATGATAGAAGTCTAAATTCTATCATTAATTCTATGTAATTTTCAATTCATTCATCCAAACACATGACAATATATATATAGGCGAGTGAACCTTGAATCTAGAAAAACAAAAAATAAATGATTAATTAAAAAATATAAACATGGGAAGATAATACAAAATATGGGATAATGACAACATTATAAGTCATAACTAATTAAGTCACATCAACCCGGCAGGATATGTGATCAATTAGATAAAAAAAGAAATCAGAAATAGCAACAAAAACTTGTGGCTAGCAAATTTTTGTTCTTATTAGGCGGAAAATCCATAGACCACGAACAAGTTGAAAAGCAGCCACAGATTTGATTGACGCCAAAATGAAATTGAAGGCTCACAACGGTCATAACAACCGGTAACATGGAAACCGACAAAGCGAACTCAGCCAAGGCCCAAGCCAATCACCATCAACAGCGAATATTTCAATCCACAAACGTAGTTAGAATCCCACCATGCAATTATAACTTTGAGACAGCCATTTTCTTTATCAATAATTCGAATAATTCCAAATGTAGTAAACTTTTTCTACACAATTCTATAAATATCTATCTCCATCGAAAATATCCAAACACATAATTGTGATATTTTCATTACTAAACTATTCACGCTAGTCTTTTTCGTTACAAATAAATACATGAAAATTAAATAATAGACGCATTTAGATTTTAAAATACCAGGTGGCAGTTAAACACGCAATGAATTTACTAAGTTTGGGTTTGGTACGTGGGTCCCACTCCCAGCTCAATCTAATATATATATATATATATATATATATATATAGGCGAGTGTCTCCACACTAATGAGCAACTAGTACATGAACTAGGCTATGTCATCGGGGGATTAGGCGAGTGTCTCTACACTAATTGGTTAAGTTGTCGGGCATTATCAATGAATTTCTTTGTACTTTTAAATTTCCTCATCAAAACACACATAGAAAAATGACTCCCTTTAATTTTTTTTTTTGTCTAATTCAAGTCTCTTTGTGGAATATATGCAAGTGTTACAACGTTGAATGGAAAAATTAAACAAAATCTCATTTTGAAACCTTATTTGACAAGATAAACCAAAATTTTCGAAATAGAAACGAATCCACTAAAAAAACAAAAGGAAAATAAAGAATATCGGTGTGAACCCTAACCAAGCAACAAGACTGACATGTGAACCCTACTCAACTAATTTAAAGAAGAGAACAAAAAAAGAAATTGCAACAAGAACTTGTGGCTAGCATTCTTTTGTTCATAACAGTTCAAACCAACGGCAGCCACAGGGTTGATTAACCCCAAAAACAAATTGAAGACTCACAACGGTCAGAACCAACAGGAACAAGGGAAGCCAACAAAGTGAACAGCCAAGGGCCAAGGAACCCATTAAAGTTAGAATCCCACCATTTAATTACATCTCTGGACTTCAGAATTGACTTGTACGAACAAGGTTTCTCTATCATCAATTACATTTGGATACCTTTTATATTCGGTAAGGATAGGGTTTAGGATATTGCTTAACTTCTTCGCGGTAAGAAAATGCTCATTTTTTATGCAAATCACAATTTGACATATATGCAACAATAATTCACTAAATAAAAACTTATGCACTGATATCACACCATTATTTGCTTAAATGTAGGAGCTCCTACATACATTTTAAAGAGGGAAGTATTTTCCATTCAGCATTTAGTTTTAAATACTTTTAAAATTTTAAAGTAAAAATTAATTATGGTTATCTCATGTCATGAACATATGTTAATTTTTTAAAATGGTGATAATGGTACACCTTCTCGATAGGAGAAATTATACAATGATACAGTATCACCACGTCAGCTTGTGATACTCCCACTCAAGATCTACCATGTGTCCTTTTTGAAAAGAAAATTAAAAAGAATTTACACCTGGACTTTGTCTTACAAGTTTACCCTTCAACATTAATTATCCTAACCCCTCTCCCCCCTCTTCCCTGTGCTATTGACGCCACCTAGCCGTCTAAACATCTCCCTCGCCACCCAGTCGTCTTCCCTCCTCCCTCACCACCCACCCGGCCTTTCCGTGCCTCCCATTCTTAGTAAAAAGTTAAACGTATTTAGAAAGCCCAGAAATTTTGAAAATCAGTGCAAACCCATTAACACATAAAACAAAAATCTTCAAAATCTCCTATGACGACAACCCACTAGTGAAAGAAGGGTATGTTTGATGTTGATATTATTGGAGGGGGACTGCAGCCAAGCGGCGGCAGTGCAAGGTAGGTAGATTGCCGAAAGGGGAAACTGCTACAGTCTTCTTGTTTTCTTTTTCCTGTTTTTACAGTTCTTATTTTATTTTATTAGGGGTAAAGTTGGAAGATAAAGTCTAACAGTGAAAAAAAGTTAATTTTCTTTTCAAAAAAGACACGTGGTAAGTTTTGAGTGGAAGTATCACCAGCTGACGTGGTGATACAGTATCATTGTATAATTTCTCCTTAGGTTAAAGTGATGAGAAAAAAATGCTCTCACCAAAAATATCTATCTCGACCACAAAAATCCACAAATTTATTTCCAATCTGTCCTCCAACAACGAACGATGGACGTTAATTTTTTTTCGTTACAAATAAATAAATGCATCAGAATCAAACACTAATCGCTCGCACAAAATAATCGACTAAAATAAACGTCGATGATTAAATGGAGAAACTCCACAATTTGATATCAGCATCGGTACCCATGTCATCCAAATTCGTGTCGCTGTCTAAGCGTTGCGGTGGAGAAAGAAGAAGCCCTTCAGCCATGTCAAGAAGCAACCTGGGCATGTCAAACACTTCGTCCTCATCCAAATAGGAGAAGCTCAAGCTTCTGCTTCGTTCCAAGTTCACACCACCCTTCTTGCTCTTCTCTTCCACCTGCACCACCATTCTCTCCTTCTCATCACTGCTGCCGCTGCACACTCCACCAAACTCCACCGGCCTAAACCCCTCAGCCGCCTCCGCGGCCGCCCTTCGAATATCCATGGGATCCATGGAAGCCGGCACGGGCAGCCTCCACGCGGAGTCAGCAAAGTTGAGGCAGGCAAGCTTCCCTCTAAACGCCAATGCGGCCACGTCATGGGCACGAGCAGCCATCTCCGCCGTCGGATAAGTCCCGAGCCATATCCTGGACTTCTTGTTGTTGGGCTCTCTCATTTCACAAACCCACTTGTCATTGTTCCTCCTCCTCACACCCCTATAAACGGGGTGCCTCGTCTCCTTGAAAACCCTCCTCCCGGCTCGCTTCTTCGGCCGGCTTGACGCCAATATGACTTCCCCGTCGGACCAAGAAGGCCCCCGAGTCTTGAAGCTGACGTCGGACAAAGAACTCGACTCGGGCTGGTCGACCGAGTCGGAAAGTTGAGACACGTCCATTTGAGTAAGCTATATGCAAGAATGGTTTGGTGCTTTAGCTTTGTTTGAGTTTTTTAAGCTGAAATTGGGAGTGAGGGGGAGAGGGAGAGAGGCTTTTATAGATTGGGGATTGCGTGGCAGATGGGACCCAAGAGTGGACACGACGACACGGACTGTGAGGAGGCAGGTGGGGCCAGGTGGAAATGTGGCTTATCAAGCTCCAACCACAAAACAGAGAACAGACAAAGGGGGATTGGGGATGGGGTTAAGCAAAGATAGATTTCACCTGGCTCTGCCACGTGCCGGGTAACACACACTGAGCTACTAAACTAACAAAGCTAAGTAAAGTGGGTGCTATTGGCACGTTTTGTCATTCACGTGTGCGGTACATGGCTCCAGTCCAAATCCCAGCTGGGATCCTGCAATCTTTTTTTTTTCTTTTTCTTCTTTTGTCTGACTTACAAGAGACCGGATTTTTTAGCCAACATTACTCATTTAACTTTCAAAAAAAGAGAAGATAAAAAGGCAAACACATGATTTCCGATGAACAATGAGAATATTCTCAACAATAAGTAAAAGGTTAAAGGATTTCCAATTTGGCCCCTTTTCTTTTCTTTTTTTTCCTTCTGCGGAGATGTTCCTTAAATAATGAGTTAAATAAATAAATAGTTTGGATCACTTAGTTGACATAGTGGAGCCTAGTGCTTGAGTGCTCATATAAGTTTATTTAACGGATCGGTTGTGAGGTTACTCAGGAATTTTTTTTTTGTTCTGAAACCATGAGGTGGTCCTAGATGGGCTCCAACTATTGGTAGCACCTTTAAGCCTTAACCACAACCCAGACTAATCCCCGCTCACACCGGGTCGGCCCATAAGGGGTAAAGTGCTGGCCAAAGTGGTGACTCCATACGAGAGTAGGGATCGAACCCCTGACCTCTCTTAAGGAATGTGAGTACCGAACCACTCACACCAACCACTTTGATTTGGTTACTCAGTATTTTACTTTAAGGGATGAACCTGTTTTTTTTTTTTTTTTTTTTCATTTTCTAGACAAGTAAAACTAATCAAAGCTTGTTAAGTTGAATTTTGGTTTCGCATGGGTAGTTAACTTGAATTATCAGAGAAATTTTGATTAAAATTAATAGTAATATGGGAAAGCCATTGCATTGACAGAAATCCCTTTTTCTCTTTCTTTTCATAACAAGTACTCTAGTTTGGATTAGAGGATCTCGATCTAAATTCATATTTTGAAAAATAGATTTTCAATCAATAGATTTTCAATTCTATTCATTTTTCAAATGTAAGGATAGAATACTTATGACGCCCTTTTGGGTTTCTTGGGTTTTGGTTACTCACGAGTCCCGACTCTCTTGAGGAATATGTAAACATTTTTATTTATGAATGAATTCACTTCTACTTTTGAAAAAAAGAAAAAAAAGTAACAATGCATAGTAAGAGTAAAAGTTGAAAAGTTGAAAAGTTGAAACGTTGATGGTCTACAGAGGGGGAGAGACTTCCATGGAAAGTAATAACACTTTTTGTTGTGGTCCAACAATGGCGCAATGATATGCGAGATAACATTGTATTATTGGGCAGGAATATCAAAATGGTATTATCCCTATCACAAGAAAATTTTCCTGATAAAAATGATAGAGAGTGAGAGAAGGTGATGATCAGACCGAAGGCTATAGGAGAGAGAAAAGGAGGTGAGAGAGTAGCATTTAGTCACACCAAAAGTAAGTAGGGTATAAAACACAAAAATATTTCCATTTAAAAAATAAAAAAGCCTACACAAATCATTCTGATTTTACTCATTTTATGACTACATATAAAACAAACGAAAGGTGTCTAATAATACAAACGTCGACCAAATAGAGAAACTCCACAGTTTCAAATCAACAGCAGTTCCCACGTCATCCCAATTCATGTAGCCATCTAAGCATTGAGGTGGAGAAAGCATAAGCCCTTCAGCCATGTCATCAAGCAACCTTCGCATGTCAAACAATTCCTCCTCATCCAAATAAAACAAGCTGCCGTTCCCCTCCATTCCCGCACAACCCTTCTCCTCACTCTCCACCGCCTTACTCTCCTTCTCATCAACACTGCCGGAACTCTGCTTGCCTAAATGCTTCAGCCGCCTTCCTAATCTCCACGTCATCGGTGGAGGCGGCACACGCAGCCGCCAAGCGGAGTCAGCAAAGTTAAGGCAGGCAAGCTTCCCTCTAAACGCCAATGCAGCCATGTCATGGGCACGAGCCGCCATCTCAGCCGTCGGAGACGTGTGTGGTGGCCAGAGACATGTGAGGGACAGTGAAGGGAGAGACAGAGGGCAAGGGAGAGAGGTAATAAACCATGCAATGTAAATAAAATAACCCAATATCGTTAGAATCCCACCATATCGGTCATGGATGTCCGTGGCTTATATCGAGCTTTTTTAGTAGCGCTTGACTTTGTACGTATCAACTACATTTAAATGTCAATCGTTTATTGACGATCTTTTTCATGTTCAATGTGGGTTAAGACTGCAATACAAAGTTCAAATTTGAATTAGTAATAAAAGAGATGCGTAAAATTAGAATTTTTAGTGTCTTCCCACATTTATTTCAAATGACAAAACGAGTTTAAAAATTAGATATAAAAACATTTTGTAGAAAGACAAACTCAATGTTAACTCTATAAAAATTTAAACTTAAAAAAAATAGATAGGTTAAATGTGACAAGTTATAAATTGAGTTTTTATCAAAAATAGCTAAAATTTAACCCATACTTTCATAAATGTATGTTATTGGAAGAAATTTTGGAGCTCTTGCATACATGATAAGGAGGGAAGTATTTTCCATTCAATAATTCTAAATTTAGGAAACTTTTGTGCAGTATATAACCCAAAATATCTATCTCGACCACAAATATCCAAAAATATATTTCCAATCTGTCCACTTACAGCGAACAACCAAGGTTAATCTTTTTTGTTACAAGTAAATAAATGCATAAGAATCAAACAATAAATAAATTCTAGTAATCGACTAAAATAAACGTCGATTATTAAATGGAGAAACTCCACAATTTGACATCAGCATCGGTGCCCATGTCATCCAAATTCATGTAGCCACCTAAGCATTGCGATGGAGAAAGAAGAAGCCCTTCAGCCATGTCATGAAGCAACCTGGGCATGTGAAACACTTCCTCCTCATCCCAATAGGACAAGCTCAAGCTTCTGCTTCTTTCCAAGTTCACACTACCCTTCTTGTTCTTCTCTTCCACCTGCACCACCATTCTCTCCTTCTCATCACTGCTGCCGCTGCACACTCCACCAAACTCCACCGGCCTAAACCCCTCAGCTGCCTCTGCGGCCGCCCTCCGAATATCCATGGTATCCATGGAAGCCGGCACGGGCAGCCTCCACGCTGAGTCAGCAAAGTTGATGCATGCAAGCTTCCCTCTAAACGCCAATGCGGCCACGTCATGGGCACGAGCAGCCATCTCCGCCGTCGGATAAGTCCCGAGCCATATCCTGGACTTCTTCTTGTTGGGCTCTCTCATTTCACACACCCACTTGTCATTGTTCCTCCTCCTCACACCCCTATAAACCGGGTGCCTCGTCTCCTTGAAAACCCTCCTCCCCGCTCGCTTCTTCGGCCGGCTCGACGCCAATATGACGTCCCCGTCGGAACAAGAAGCCCCTCGAGTGGTGACGCTGGCGTCGGACAACAAACTCGACTGGGGCTGGTCGACCGAGTCTGAAAGTTGAGAGAAGAACATGTCCATTAGACTAAGCTTTATGTATGAATGGTTTGGTGTTTTAGCTTGTTTGAGTTTCTTGAGCTGAAATTGGAAGTGAGGGAGAATGGCTTTTATAGATTAGGGATTGCGTGGCAGGTGGGCCCAGGTGTGGACACGATAACACGGAGTGTGAGGAGGCCGGTGGGGCCAGGTCGGAATGTGGCTCAGCAAGTTCCCTTCACAAAACAGACAAAAGGGGATTGGAGGAGAGATGGAGGAAAAGAAAATAGATTAGACTTGGCTCCGCCACGTGGCGGGAAACACACACTGAACTAACTAGTCTAAGTAAATTGGGGCGCAAGTTTAAAAAGTATAGTGGGGGGCAAGTGGGGTTTTTAGGTTCAATATCACCATAATTTTGACCCTATTTGTATTTTGATTCCTTAATTTTTAAAATTGTTTCCATGATTTTCAATTTTAGTTTTATTAGGAGAAATGGTCATGTTGTCAGTTTTGTTAATTTTTTATATTAAATACAGGTACAAAATGGTTTTTTATTTTTTGTATTAATTTTAATTTTCACAATCTGACTATTTCAACAAAGTCATGGTCAATCTCTACCCGACACCGAGCCAAATAACCCACCACCCCCGCAACAACTGATGGTGCTCTCACAACCCATACCCCCGCTCAAATCATACCCACCATCCAGTGATGGCGAGGATACGAAGAAGGTTTTTCAGTTTTTATTTTTATTTTTTTTAATGAAAGAAATATTCTGATGATAAAAATTAAAAATAATATAAAAATACTATTTTGCCCCTGCATTTAAGTGCTTCTGAAATGTGATATTTTATTACTGTAACTGGCTCCCACTCCCAAGCTCAGCTGAGGTCCCACAGTGCTTACTCATAACTCAAAATCTTATCAACAAAGCAGAGAGAGAGAGAGAGAGAGAGAGAGAGAGTAAAAGTCGAAAAGTTGGTGGTCTAGAGAGAAGGAGGTGAGAGAGAGTGGTAGTCACAGCAAAAGTAAGTAGGGTCTAAAACATAAATATGTTTCCATTTAAAAAATAAAGTAAGTAGGGCCTACAAATTACAATCATTCTGATTTACTATAGAATGTGGGATTTCTATAGAGGTCGATCAAATAGAAAAACTCCACAGTTTCAAATCGTCAACAGTTTCCACGTCATTCCAATCCATGTAGCCATCTAAGCATTGAGGTGGACAAAGCATAAGCCCATCAGCCATGTCATCAAGCAACCTTGGCATCTCAAATATTTCGTCCTCGTCCAAATAAAACAAGTTGCTGCTTCCCTCCATTCCTACACAACCCTTCTCCTCACTCACCACTGCCTTACTCTCCTTCTCATCAACACCACCATCCTCCGCCTGCCTAAACGCTTCAGCGGCCTCGGTGGCCGCCCTCCTAATCTCCGCGGCATCGGTGGATCATCTGAAAGAGAAGCTCGCCGGGCCGTAACGCTGGCGTCCGAAAACGAAGACGTATCCGGGTTTTCCATAGAAGCTAAATCAGAGAGCTGGCTGTAGATCATGTCCATTTTTGCAAGCCCTTAGTGTAAAGCTTTCCGACTTTGTGTTTTAGTAGGGTTGGGTTTTTTCTGGGCTGAAAATGGAGAGAGTTCGAGTGTGGTGGTGGCTTTTTTATAGATTTTGGGTTGGGCCATGTTTATGCGAAGTGGACGCGCGAACACGGAGCGTGATGATTTGGCGAGACGCCACATGGAAATCAGCGGCCTAATGTGGGCGTGTTCACACTGGAAAGCAAAGAGGATTGTAGAGAAAATAGATTAATTTGACTTTGGCTTTGGCTTGACTTACTAAGCTAAGTAAAGTGGGTATTTAGCACGTGTGATTTTTTGGTTACAAAATTTGTCACGTTTTTTAATGCAACGTGTGCAATGTGTGTGAGGTGGTGCCCAACTCAAATCCTGCAATAAATTTTTCATCGTCTTCTTCGCTTTTGTTGTCTCACTTAGAGGAAATCACAAGTATTTGTATATCTTCGAATCGAATGCATTCTCCTCTTTTTGTTCTGTGGAAAGGACGGCGGTATATGTAAAATCATATACTTCAAAATAGAAAATGGCAAGGAAACTCTTTTTGGGGTTAGTTTATGTATCGTAAGGAGGCTAGGTCAAAATTTGTAAATATAATTTCGATTACAATAATTATTTTTTAGATATAAACGATAGTCAGGGAGAGAAGAGTCGAACTTAAAATCTCATATGAATGAATAAAATAGTCTTAACTACTTGAACTGCAAGACCTTACTTAATACAATATCATAAACTTGGGATGAAAATTTGAGAACTCGGAGGAAATATTCAGATAATTTTTTAGGCAATAGAAGAAATTTACTTATTATCAAGGGCTTGTCCAATATAGGTCCCTACAATTTATATTTCCTAGACATATACCCATCATTCTATAAATCTATGTGTAAAACCCAATTTCAAACTTAAGATATAATAGGTCATAGTATTCCTATGTTTTTACATCCTTGCCATCAGACTTCATATTTTATTTATAATTTATTCCAAGCATTTCATTAACTGCCATAATTGTAATTAAAACTCCCTATTAATAGCATAGCAATCACCCCATTTCTTTTTGTTGCCATTCCCTCTAACATGTCGCCCCCTCAAATTGCAAACCAAAAAAAAAATATGTAAATTACATATAATGTACATATAAAAAATATAAATATAAATATATATGTATAAAAATATAGGTATATTATTTACCAAAAAAACAAAACAAAAATAGGTCAGTTACTTTGTAATTGAAATTTCTGTACATTTTTCATAAATTATAAATAGGTACACAATAATTTATAGAAAATAGGTATGTCGTATAATTGAAATTTATGCACATTTTTTATAAATTAAAAATAGGTACATTATTTAGAAGAAAAAAATAAGTGCATTATACTAGGTAAATTGTTTTACTAGGTATACATTATTAGAGAAAAAAAATAGGTACATTATTTAGAGAAAAAAATAGATACAAAATTTAGCAAAAAAATAGGTTCATTATACTAGGTAAATTGTTTTACTAGGTACATTATTAGAGGAAAAAAAAAAGATACATTATTGGAGAGAAAAAATAGGTTCATTTAAAAAAAATTGTTTTCATAAAACAAACAATAAAAAGATGATCAAATTATTTTTCATAAAACAAGTAATAGGTGCTTAATAAATAGATTATCAAATTATTTTTCAACATAATTAGAATGTACACTATTATTCATAAAACTATAATAAAATAGAATACTAGTCGTATAATTCATAAAAGGAAAACAACATTAATTCCTAAATTTAATATTGAATTTAAATTACTAATAAATTAAATAGATTACTAGTCGTAATTCATAAAAGGAAAACAACATTAATTCAAAAATAGATTACTAGTCGCAAAATAGATTACTAATACTTTAATATGGAATTTAATATTTAATTTCAAATAAGTTTCTAAATTAATTCCTACATCCATTACAACTATTTGGAGATCTTTCCAAATTCAACGTGTGTCATTAATTACACCCCCTCATAACATATTAACTTGTAAATAGGGGTAGTTTTGGAATCTGAAAAAATACAATAAATCAGATTTTAAGTTATATTAGGTAACTTGCTTAGTTGGATCCTAGTCATCGGGTATTATTTGAAAAAATTGAGTATTTTAAATAGAAAACTAAAGGAAAGGGTTGTAGGTGATTTAAAATGAATTTTATGGATCTAAGCTCAATTTACTATATTATCAAATGTAATTTCCATAAAAAAGAATGTAGAGATTTGTTTGTGGAGTAAGAAGTTTATAAAAAAGCCCAAATATCTTTAATGGGAAATAGGAAGCAGCGGGCAAGTGCATTTCAAGTGGGAGACAGTAGGGACCCACAAACCGTACTAAACCAAAGAAAACTTCACCACGAAGGAGTTAGGCCGGTCCAGTTCAAAGTCGGAGTGACGTCATCCTAGTAGCACGACTTGCATAATACGAGGACAGCTGTATGGTGACGTCGGTAAATCGGTTGACAGCTAAACGAGACCTTCGGCCACGGGACACGTGAACAATGTGGATATTTTCAGATATATTTGGGCTTTGGGCTGAAGTCTATAATGCCACCTTCCCCTTCATCCGATGGGTTGAGAGGAGAGAGAGAGAGAGAGAGATTTTGGGCCTTTTAAATCAATTTTGGTTGGCTTTAACTAAATTTAATTATCGTTTTACTTTCTTCAGTGATATACATGAAAGGGGGAATTCAAACTCGGGCTAAAACAAAATTGGCAAGAGATACACCCTTTAGATAAAGAGTGTTTATGTTAATTAACCAACAAATCAAAAGAACATAATGATGCAACCGCCTTTACAACAAGAAAAAAATAACACACAACTTTGATGTGATAGTTTTTACAAAATAAAATCAACAAACATTGAAAGCTTTAATATGTTATGGCAAGAAACCATGTATTGCCTCTTTTAATGATCAACATGTTTTTCGTTTTGTCTTTGGGAAAGATTCTTAATCTAATAGCTTGTAATAATTTTTTCTTCCTAACATTCTTCTATTTTATGAAAGAAGATGGGGTATTCAAACTTGAAATCTCTTTCAACGTTAAAAAAGAAAAACTTCTAAACTAAGAGCTACTAATATCCAAACATTTACTTAAGTTGTTCTTTACTTAAATTTTATTTTTTTATTTTTTTGTCAAAGTCGAAAGATTGTATTCATAATTCAACCGTGAGGACGGTCAGCCACAAGGGTCAATACAAATACAATAGTCATAAAGGTTTATATGGAGCGGTCAAACGGCAACAGACATCCGTCCACTCGTAGCCACGCATAATGAAAGAAATTTGGGGAATGCTAGCAACCTTCTCTCTAACATTCTTCCTTTTTTGCTTGACATGTGTCATTCTCCTTACACTTAAAACAATGTTATTAATATATATATTTTTAACAATTTCACAACTTTCTTACCATCTCATTATTTTATTTTTTTAACGTCAATTTTTTTTATAAAAAAATGTATGCTTTTAAGAAAAAGAGGAAATGTCAATGTTTTTTTTTTT